CATACATTACATACATACATACATACATACATACATACATACATACATACATACATACATACATACATACATACATTACCTACATACATACATACATACATACATACATACATACATACATACATACATACATTACATACATACATTACATTACATTACATTACATTACATTACATTACATTACATTACATTACATTACATTACATTACATTACATTACATTACATTACATTACATTACATTACATTACATTACATTACATTACATTACATTACATTACATTACATTACATTACATTACATTACATTACATTACATTACATTACATTACATACATACATACATACATTACATACATACGAGAGAGGGAGATTGGTTGGGGGGATGGGAGGATGGGGAGCAGAGGGAGGGAGAGAGGACGACAGAACACACAAGGGAGACAAGGGAGAGAGGAAGAAGGAGAAAAGGGAGAGGATAATGTCGGCGGACTGAGCCGGAGGCTCTAAAGTAGTAGTAGTAGTAGTAGTAGTAGTAGAAGTAGTAGCAGAAGAAGTAGTGGCAGTAGTAGAAGTAGTAGAACTAGTAGAAGTAGACGTAGTACGATTCAAGTCAAAAGCTATTAAAAGGTATGTGACGAGGGGGTTTGCAACCAGCCAGGCGGTCAAGTTGCACAAGTGTCCGCTGCAACTGTTACATAGCTCCCAACGAAAATACTCCGATCTAAATGTGCACATAGCATTCATCTATGCCTGTCTCTGAGTACATGATTCCGCGCCTGACTTCGACAAGCACAGCATTGCCTAGCAGACCGAGCAGGCTTATCTCCAATCAGAATCACCATGCGACCGAAAGCGCCTGATTGCCAAAGCCGTGCAGGACACTGCCAGAACAGCCACGCTCAGAATTTGCGACGGTAGGCCTTGGCGAGCTGTGCAATATGTTTCAGTAGAAATAATGAGGAAGATGTGAGTGTGCGGAAGAGAACAAAATACATTCGACTCTCAAAGCCACGATTCAGTCCAACCCGCCTAAGGGCTTGGCTGGCTGACTCAAGATCAGGCCAGTAGCCAGACAAGTCCAGCACGCACCTCAGATTCGCTCGTGACACTGACCGATCTGGCTTCTCAAACATTCCCATTCGATTCAGCAGTGAATACAGTACCTTCCGCAACGAGACACCGGTGGATGTGCAGAACCTAGAAACCCTTTCCTGTTGCTCGTCCGCGGACCTGCAAGCTTCGCCAAGGGGCATCGCTGCCCAGCAACAGAGTGCCAGTACTGACAAGACGAGCTCCACAGCCTATAGACGGGGATCACAACCGACGCACAAATTGAAGGACTTGACTTTCAGTTTTCAGCCGAACAGGCAGTCAAACAGTTGACTGGGAACAGTTGACCGCTTTACAATTCCTCCCACTGCAATCTGTGGCACCTAGACAAATCTCAAGCAACCGTAGGTGTCATGCAAAGGGGGAAGTCTCAAAGCAACATTCGAAGCTCGGTGCACGGAAGCTCGCGATGCTCCCGCCTGACGGTTGCACCATAGCGGCTCCGATCCTGTGCAGATCGAGGCATCTTGCAGGCTTGGCTAGAAGGCATGAGCCTTGGCTGCTTTTCTCGAAGGTCCAGGCTTCGATGCTGACCTGGCCCGTCGCGGTCGACATCTACCTTCACCGCTCCCTCTGGCATTTTTTCTGGGAAGTTTCGTTCAGGCCATAGACTGCCAAAAAACCGCGGCCGAACTTTGTCTGTCGCCCACCGACCATTTTGGAGGGCTTCTTCCATTGAGACGCACAGCCACAACATGCCACTCTCTGCTGAGCGCCTGCCTCATGCTGAACAGCCAGCACCTGCACAGTCCGCCCAAGAGACAGCAATATGACGCGTGAAGGAACCCTGACACCGGCTGCAAAAAATCAGACTACATACCCTCAAGGTGCGTCGGGATCCGACCCAGCCTGTGCCTCTACATCTCCAACCTGCAGGTGTGTTGGAACCGGTGAGGCGACACAAGCAAACGGCAAACAACAGCGCAGGTGCTTTGCTAGCTGGGAAAGTCACAAAGCGTTCTCGTCACTCCGAAAAATGCTCCTTGCTGATTGTTTTCCCCAGTTCGCCCAACTGTTCACCCAGTTTTTGGGCCTGGGTGAGCAGTGCCACAGGTGACACGGGGCTGCGCGGCTGGAGGATCTTGGGCGGCGCGGGAATCTCGAAGTCCTGCAAATGGATCGATGGATCGATGGATCTGTTGCCAGCTCAATGCCTTGTCTTGGGATATCTACACACCAAGTGGATACGTAGACGAATATTCAGATATGCCAATAAAAGACCTTTGATTTGTGCAATAGTTTGTACTTCTTCCCGGGTTTATTTCAGGGAATTGCAAGACACCAAAAGCTATGGTGCTTGTTCCATCTCCCATTTTGAGACAAAAATCCCACCATGTTCCGAGTTCCAGAAACGACGGGCGGAAAGCGGAAAGCCGCAAGCAACCAGGCTGGTCCAGGCCTCTGGCTCCTGTAGCATGGCTCATTGGCTATGGCTACGACGACCCCGGAGGGTCCAACGGAGTAACTGGTCAGCCCTTGGGATTGGTCAAGTACGGCTTTTTTCTAGCGGACCCGAAGAGCAAGAAAGACGCCAGATTGCAAGGTACTGAGAGCCGGCATCCCTGCTGCTTCTTTGCCGCCTCTTTTTTCGGCCCGAAGACTCTTCCGGCTTGCAGGCTGCGACACTGCACAAAGCTGAAAGCCAAAACGGCCCAAGCGGAGTGTTGCCAATCCGGCTGCCGGGGCCTTTAAAAACGTCAACCTTGCTGAAGCACTCATCTGAGATGATTTCCACTGCCCCCAAGCCATTCCCCCTTCAAAAAAATACTGGCTCGTGGCATATCCCTTTGGGTGCTGGTTTGGGGCTGAAAAGCATCGAACTTTCTCCAATCCCCCCTGTGGTCAGCACCGGGAGTAAGTGGCTGGACACTGCCGACATCGAGCTGGCGCCAGCTATCTCCTTTCGGCTCTGGCTCGGCGACTGGGCCCACTGACTTCAATCAAACAAAGTCCAGTTCACTTGGCCATGAATTTAGAGGGAACCTTTGGACAACATCTGGGAATTCATGTCCTCCCACTTTTGAGGAGCTTCCTTAAAACCAAAAACAAAGAAACTTGGGCCTGTCTGTTTGCTGAGGTTTCCCTTTTGGCTGGCTTTAAAGGGAAACCAAAAGAAAAGCCACCATTTCGGGGGGGGTCCCTCAAAAAAAGGAATCCCAGGGCGAAGAAAAGTCACCAAACGCAAAAGCCCGGTCCGACAGCAGCGGGCGTGGGACGCGGGAGGACGAGGCAGGCGCAACCTTGGACCCATAGCGTGAGCCGATGTCTCCGTTTAGGATACAAAAAAAAAAAAAAAACGAGATGGGTGGGGTCCCTGTTTGTTGAGGGTACCCCTCTGTTTTGTTGTGTTAAAGGGAAGCCAAAGAAAACCACCAATTTTCGGTGGTCTTCTATTTTTTTTTTTTTTTTTTTTTTTTTAAAAAGTCTACATGCAGCTTGTTCAAGGCCTGGACTTGCACCTGCCACCAGCCCTGGCGCTCCCAATAACATACGTCCCATTGATCTTTTGAAGGTCTTGACGGTGAAAGCAGCAGAAAGAGACTGAGCCTCGGCAACATCAGATTTTGTTGCTGTCTTGAATCGCCAGTGGAGTCGCGCGTACCTTGTGCAAAGCGCCGACTGGCTACCACATGCATGACAATATCGAGTATTCTTGGCGTCAAATATCTGAGCACCACAAGCTTGACCTTTGATCGAACGGCCTTGAGGGCACTCGATGGCCAAAAGCCGCCGCGAGGCATCGCAAGGCGGCAAAGCCTGCGCATTCGATGCCCAGTGGTTCAAGATAGCCAGCCAAGGGCTCCAAGCGGTGCCGACTGCCTGCATTGAAGGAACTTGAGGCCTTAGGAAAGTGTTTTAGTCAGGTGATGCTTCCATCGCAGCAAAGCTCAGAGGCAAGAAACCTTGCAACTTCGCTCTATGTTGCACCTTTCCGCATAAGAACACATGCTCGCAGGCGTGAGCTACACAGCTGACGGGGAGCGCTCATCACCTTGAAAAAAGACAAACAAAGACTGTGCTTGCCTGCTCTAGGAATCCAGCGGCATCAGCGTTCCGCCCGTATATACACATATAGACATATGTGTGCGCGCAAGTATGTATTGTGTGTGTTTGCATTCGCCTGGAGTGTTGCGTTGTGTTGTGTGTTGCTGCGCTGTGTTGCGCTGCGCCGTGCTGCGTTGTGTTGTCCTGTGTTTTGTTGCGCTGCGTTGCGTCGTGCTGCGCTGTGTGTTGCGTTGTGCTGGGGGTTGCGCGTTGTGCTGCGTTGGTTGTTTCGTTGTGCGTTGCGTTGCGCGCGTGTTGCGTCGCATGTTGCGCGTTGTGTGTTGAGTGTTGATTGTGGTACGCGCGTGTTGCGTGTGTGTGTGTGTGTCGTGTGTTGTGTTGCGCGTTGCGTGTTGTGTGTTGTGTGTCGTCATGTCACGCCGTATCTTGTCGTGTAACGTTGTTGTAGTTTAAGGTTGTTGTCGCGTGGTGTTGCTACTGTCGTGTGGTTCAATGTAGTATTCTTTTGTTGCGGTGTTGCGGTGATCTTCTTCTTCTGCTTCTCCTCATTCTTCTTGTTGTTGCGCTGCCGATGCAGCTGTTGCTGCTGCTGATGCTGTTGTTGGTGGCAGCGGCGTTCGAATTGCTGTCGCTGTGGCGCTGGTGGCGCTGGTGGCGCTGGTGGCGCTGGTGGCGCTGGTGGCGCTGGTGGCGCTGTTGAAGTTCGCGGCGTTGGTGATGTTGCTGTTGCTGTTGGTGATGCTGTTGGTGTTGGTGATGTTGTTAGTATGTTTGATGTTGGTGTTAGTGTTGGTGTTGGTGCGGGCGCTGGCGTTGTTGTTGTTGCTCGTGTTGAAGTCTGTTGTCTAATATGTGTTGGAACCGTCATTGCGACGCTTCCTGTTGTTACTGCTGCTGCGGTTGCTGTTGCAGTTGCGGTTGCGCCTCCAGTTGTTCTTGTTGCCGCGCTTGCGGTTGTTCTTGTTGCGCCTGTTGTTGCTGCTGGTGCAGCGGTTGTGAGTGTTGTTGACGTTGGCACTGGCGCTGGTGTTGGTGTTGGTGTTGACGCTGTTGTTGTTGGTGGTGCTGATGTGTGTTGTTAATGCGTGTTGCAAACGTTATCGTTTGTTCTTGTTGACGCTGTTGCGGTTGTGGTTGCGGCTGCGGTTCCGGTTGTTCTTGTCGCCGCGTTTGTGGCTGTCGTTGTTGCCGCGTTTGTGGTTTTTGTTGTTGCAGTGGTTGTGGTTGTGGCTGTTGTGGTTGCGGTTGCGGCTGTTTTTGTTCTTGTTCTTGTTTTCTTCTTTGTTCTTTGTTCTGTGATCTTGTTCTTGCTGTTGTTCTTGTTATTGTTGCTGTTGGTTTTGGTGTTGGTGTTCTTGTTGGTGTTGGTGTTGCTGTCGCTGTTGTTCTTGTTATTGTTGCTGTTGGTTTTGGTGTTGGTGTTCTTGTTGGTGTTGGTGTTGCTGTCGCTGTTGCTGTTGGTGTTGTTGCTGTTGTTGCGCTTGTTGTTGCGGTTGCGGTTGTTATTGTTGCTGGTGGTGTTGTTGTTGTCGTCGTCAATGGTTGTTGTTGTTGCGGTTGTCGCTGTCGTTGTCTCTGTTGCTCTTGCTGTTATTGCCGTTGTTGCTGTTGTTGCTGTTGGTGTCGTGGATGTTGGTGTTGATGTTTGTGTTGGTGCTGGTGTTGGTGCCGTTGTTGGCGTTGTTGTTGTGTTGTTTGTTGTTAATATGTGTTGGGAATGTTGTTGTTGTTCTTCTTGTTGTTGCTGCTGTTGCGACTGCGGTTGCGTTTGCGGTTGCGGTTCCGGTTGTTCTTGTTGCTGCGCTTGTGGTTGTTGTTGTTGTTGCTGCTGCTGTTGTTGTTGTTGATAGTGCTGTTGGTGTTGGTGTTCTTGCTGGGGTTGGTGTTGTTGGTGGTGGCGTTGTTGTTGTTGATGATGACGTTGATGTTTGTTGCTCGCATTTGTTGGGAATGTTGTTGTTCTTTTTCTTGCGGTTGATGCTGTTGCGGTTGTGGTTGTGGTTGCGGCTGCGGTTCCGGTTGTTCTTGTTGCTGCGCCTGTGGTTGTTGTTGTTGTTGCGCTTGTTGTTGTCGCTGCTGCTGCTGTTGTAGTTACAGTTTTTGTTGTAATTGTAGCTGTTGTTGCCGGTGCTGGTGTTGTCGCGGTTGCTGCTGCTGCTGCTGTTGTTGGTGGTGGTGGTGGCGGTGTCAGCTTAGCAGCTGCTGGTGTCGCTGTCGTCAGTGGTGTTGTTGTTGATGGGGGAGTTGGTACTGTTGATGTTGTCGCTGACGTTGCTGCTGCTTGCGCTGCTGCGGCTTCGGGAGCGCGGTTGTGTTTTTTGAGGATGCGTTGTTGCAGTTTGCGCTGCTGCGGCACGCTGTTGCTTTGCTGCGCGGTTGCATTGCTACGTTGCGTGGTGTGGTGCGGCGCAGCATGGGGTGGCGTCGGGCGAACAGCAGCGTACTGCAGCATCGTGCGGTGCGCTGCGGCGCGCTGTCCGTGCAAGTGTGCGGGCGCGCGTGTTTGCGTGCGCCTGGGTTTGTGTGTTTGTGTGTGTGTGTGCGTGATTGTGCGTGGGCGCCCCTCTGTGTGTGTGCGTGGGCGCGCGGGCGCGCGGGCCGTTCCAGATCAGCGCGTGCGCACGCGCGTGCGGGCGTGCATGCGTGGGTGGGTGGGTGCGTGGGCGCGTGGGTGCATGGGTGCATGGGTGGGGGTTGGGGGGGTAGGTGTGCGTGCGCGTGTGCGTGCGCGTGTGCGTGTGCCTGTGCGTTCGCCTATGCGTCTGGGCGTCTGTGTGTCTCTGTGTGTCTCGGTGTATCTCTGTGTGTCTCTGTGTGTCTCTGTGTGTCTCTGTGTGTCTCTGTGTGACTCTGTGTCTCTCTGTGTGTGCGTCTCTGTGTGTGTCTCTGCGTGTGTGTCTCTGCGTGTGTCTCTGTGTGTGCCACTGTGTTTGTGTCTGTGTGTGTCTCTGTGTGTCTCTGTGTGTCTCTGCGTGTCTCTGCGTGTCTCTGTGCGTCTGTGTCTCTCTGTGTCTCTGTGTGTCTCTGTGTCTCTCTCTGTATGTCTCTGTGTGTGTGTGTGTGTGTCTCTGTGTGTCCCCGTGTGTCTCCAGGTGTCTACGTGTGTCTCTGTCTGTCTTTGTGTGTCTCTCTATGTGCCTCGGTGTGTGTGCGTGTGTGTCTCTGTGTGTCTCTGTGTGTCTCTGTGTGTCTCTGTGTGTCTCTGTGTGTCTCTGTGTGTCTCTGTGTGTCTCTGTGTGTCTCTGTGTGTCTCTGTGTGCGTCTCGTGTGTGTGTGTCTCTGTGTGTGTCCTCTGTGTGTCTCTCTGTGTCTCTCTGTGTGTGTCTCTGTGTGTCTCTCTGTGTCTCTGTGTGTCTCTGTGTGTCTCTGTGTGTCTCTCTGTGTCTCTGTGTGTCTCTGTGTGTGTCTCTGTGTGTCTCTCTGTGTCTCTGTGTGTCTCTGTGTGTCTCTGTGTGTGTCTCTGTGTGTGTGTGCCTCTGTGTGTGTGTGTCTGTGTGTGTGTGTGTGCCTCTGTGTGTGCCTCTGTGTGTGTGTGTGTCTCTGTGTGTGTGTCTCTGTGTGTCTCTGTGTGTCTCTGTGTGTCTCTGTGTCTCTGTGTCTCTGTGCGTCTCTGTGTGTCTCTGTGTGTCTCTGTGTCTCTGTGTGTCTCTGTGTGCGTCTCTGTGTGCGTCTCTGTGTGTGTCTCTGTGTGTGTGTGTCTGTGTGTGTGTCTGTGTTTGTGTCTCTGTGTGTCGGTGTTTGTCTCTGTGTGTCTGTGTGCTGTGTGTCTGTGCGTTGGTGGGTGGGCGGGCGGGCTGGCGGGCTGGCGGGCGGGCGGGTGGGTGGGAGGGTGGGTGGGTCGGCGCGCGCAGTGCGTGCAGTGCGTGCTGTGCGTGCGGTGCGTGCGGTGCATGCATGCGTGCGTGTGTGGATGGGTGGTTGTTTGTGTGCTCATGCGTGCTCGTGTGTGTTCGCAGCTTTGTGCGCTTGTGTGTGTGTGTGTCTGGTCCTTTCTACACTCTTGCATCCCCAGAGCAAGCTCGCTGCTGGCAAATTGAAGGAAGCTGACCAGAACATACCGGAACAAAAAAACAAAGGATGCCTTCTCTTTCCCGCAAACATTCACCTTATTGCCCTGAAACTGACTGGCAGCACATCCCGGTTCTGGCTCTTAGCTTCCAGGAAACCAGCAGCATGCCAGAATAGCTTTGTATCGCACGTGCAGCGGAGAAACCACGCAGACTCCTTCCGTCAGAGATTGTCTGTCTCCAACAGCCTGAAGGATGTCTGCCAGTTTTGCGTACAGGGTGGCAGGTTGACGCGGCAACAGCTTTGCACAGGCACGTGGCGTCAAGCCCCCACCGAACCGCGAAACCACGCGACAAGCGGATGTCCGGAAGCGCGAGTCAAGAATATCAACAGGCCACGTGAATGCGGCAGAACGAATTGTGCCAATCGTGAAGTTCCTCCGTGCAAAATGAGGCAAACTGCAGGCAAAAGCCATGTATTGCAGTTCCAGCAGCGTTGCCATGCAACCCACGCAACAAATGATGACCCCTCTGGCCTCGAGGAAAACTGGTCGATGCTCGCGATTGGCACGAGATGCTAAGTGCGAAAAGTGGCTCTGGGCGTCGCTCTTAGCTCAAGAGCCAGGGATCAAGTGCCAAAGCACGCCGCTGTCCGCGCTGCGCTTCTTCGGAGCCTTACACCGGACAGCTCACCTTCACTTGGTACTGTTCCGCTCTCCAGGGCAAGAGGCCATGCTAGCCCTGATAGCTCCTCAACCTTCCTGGAGCTAGTGCCCTACAAGCGTGGCGGGGTACACTTGGCTGCGCGCTCCACATGTCGCTCTGGAAA